TGGGCTGAAGACTGAGCGGGGAGGGGGGAGTGTAGAGCACGGGCTTCTAGGATATGCCCTTTGGTCGGAAGACGATGCATGGAGGGGATTGGAACCATGGCAATGTAATGATATACAATGGAATGACTATGGAACTGAGGTTCTCTCATGTAAACTATCATATAACTCACAATAAAACATAAAAAATACCCCAAAAAAGTTCCTGTGCAGTAGATTTGCCTAATGCAATACGTCGTCCTTTGATCTCTTGACTGCTGCTTCCATGAGTGTTGACAGTTGATCCAAGAAGAATGAAGTCCTTGACAACTTCAATCTTTTCTCCATTGATAAGAATGTTATTTGTTGGTCCAGTGGTGAGGATTTTTGGTTTCTTTACATTGAGATATAAACCATACCGAAGGTTGTACTCTTTGATCTTCATCAATAAATGTTTTAAGTCCTCTTCACTTTTGGCAAGCAAGGTTGTATCATCTGCATATCCCAGGTTGTTAATGAGTCTTCCTCCAATCCTGATGCCACGTTTTTCTTCATAGAACCCAGTTTCTCGGATTATTTGCTCAGCATACAGGTTGAATAAGTATGGTGAAAGAATACAATCTTGTCACACACCTTTCTTAATTTTAAACCATTCAATGTTCCCATGTTCTGTTCGAACAGCTGCCTCTTGGTCCAGGTACAGATTTCTTATGAGCACAATTAAGTGTTCTGGAATATTCATACTTCACACTGTTGTCCATAGCTTGTCATGATCCACACAATCGAAAGCCTTTGTGTAGTCAATAAAGCACAGCTAAACATCTTTGTGATATTCTCTGCTTTCAGCCAAGATCCATCAGACATTAGCAATGATATCCCTCGTTCCACGTCCTCTTCTGAATCCGGCTTGAAGAGGAATGGTGTTGCATTCATTGTCAAAAAGAACATATCCAGATTAGTCATGAGGTACAATGCTGTCTGTGATAGGGTAATATTCATGCACCTACAGGGAAGCCCAGTTAATACCACTATTATTCAAATTTATGCACCAACCAGTAAAGCCAGTGAGGATGAATGGAAGAATTCTACCAACTTCTTCAATCTGAAATGGATCAAGCATGCAATCAAGATGTATTGATCATTACTGGTGATTGAAATGCAAAGGTTGGGAGCAAAGAGGAAGGATCAGTAGGAAAATATGGCTTTGGTGATAGAAATGATGCTGAAGAACACATGATAGAATTCTGCAAAACCAATGATTTGTTCAATTCAAATACCTTCTTCAGACAGCATAAGAGATTACTATACACATGGACCTCACCAGGTGGAATATATAGAAATCAAATTGAGTACCTCTGCCAAAAGATGATGAAAAGCTCCATATCATTAGTGAAAACAAGGCCAGGGGCAGACTGTGGAATAGACCATCAATTACTTATATGCAAATTCAAACTGAAGCTGAAGAGAATGAAAACAAGTCCATGAGAGCCAAAATATGACCTTGAATACATCCCACCTGAATTTAGAGATCATCTGAAGAACAGATTTGATACATTAAACACTAAAGACCAAAGACCAGAAGAGTTGTGGGATGACACCAAGAACATCTCACATGAAGAAAGCAAAAAGTCATTAAGAAGAAAAGAAAGAAAAGGTCAAAATGGATGTCAGAAGAGACACTGAAACTTGCTCTCCAGCGTAGAGATGCTAAAGCAAATGACGGCACTTAACGAGTATATATATATTGTTGTTGTTGTTTTGTGAAGTGCCATAGAGTCTGTTCCGACCCATAGCGACCCTGCATAGGGTTTCCAAGGAGCGACTGGTGCGCTTGAATCACCGAGCTAGTAGTTCAAACTGGTGAGCTTGAACCACCGAGCTAGTAGTTCAAACGGCTTTGCAGTCTGGCGCATTAACTCACAGCGCCACACCAGGTGCCGTCGAGTCGGTTCCAACCTTCAGCAACCCTGTGTAAGGTTTCTGAGGAGCAGCAGCTGGTGAGCTTAAACCGGCGACATCGTGGTTCAAAGCCGCCACAGCACATAACAACTATTTCTTGGAGGGTCATGTGGAGTTTCTAAACCCAGGAGAAGAGCCAGTCAGCTGCAAACACACCTGCTTCGAGGTCCCGCGCAGCTACGCTCTCCTGTGGGCGCCCCAGTCCCTGGGGTGGCGCCTCATCTACCACAGAACTTTATTTTAGGACTAGATTGCCCCCTGGTGGGCAATTAAAGAACAACCCAATTCTGCTTAAAGCTGAGTTAGGGTGCAGCGCCTCCAGGGTGCCTCTTTCCCCACTAGTGCCCCCTGTGCATTTCTCCTGAGAGCTTGCTGATGGAAATGTAGAAATCAAATGTCTACAATGCACAAAGCATCCTCTGCCGCTGTTACAAGTCTGATACTGAGTTGCCTGACCCAAATGAGCTCATTGACATGCAGGCAGCTACCATCACAAAAGTTTTTGGGAAAGTTCCATTCTCTTTTCATTCTATTTTTTCCACAAACGTTCTGAAGTCCCTTCGTATAGGGGCCAGATGTGATAAAGATGAAATGTAGGTGAGGGCAGAGAGGCTGTGAAGAACAGAGAGTGAGGCACCAAATACAGACAAGGAGATGCAGGCAGGCCTGGGGGGAGGCTGTGTTTGAGCTGGGCTCTGAGGGAGCTGGATTTTGAGGGGGAAGAAGGGGAAGCAAGTGGGAGGAACAGTGCGCATCTTCTGTCTTCCTACCCACTCACCGTCATGGGGAGTCTCCAAGTCACAATTCCTTAAAAACATCCGTTTCCTAGGAGAACACGGTGGCTGGTTCCATCTGCTATATCTTACCTTCCTGATCCTGCTACTGCACACTTACTTCATTCTGGATTTATCTCTTCCCTGCTGAGCAACCCTGCCTCCTCACAGTCTTTGAAGTCCTCTACATACTTGGCTTTATGAATCTCTGAGTAAGATTTCACTTCTGCTTTTAAGGAGACTTTGCAACATTGGATTAAATGTATTCTGATTGTCCTTCAGCTATGGTCTGCAGGACACCGGGGTGGGGGGGTGGGCGGTGTGTCTAGGACCCAGACTTTGCCTTTTAGGCTGTCTAAGGGTGCCTCTTTTCCTCCCACTTTCTGAGATCTGTGTTCTCCCACCCATTGGATCCAGAGGATATTTTTCCAGAGCCCCTAACCCAGGACACTGGATCAAGGATAGTCACCTCCTCCAGGGCAGGGAAGAGCCCACCTGTGACGGAGAGACCCTCAGGTCACAGAAAAACCCGTTTGTCACTGTTACTAGTCTCAGTAGATTGTTCTTGTTTTATTTTTGCTCCTGCTGTAAGCGGGCTTGCACTGGCGTCTGCCTTGCAGTGAGATAGCTGGCCAGCAGAGGGCAAAGGCCTTGACTGAAGAGAACGCTCTAACTTCAGGTCCCAGGCCAGTAATGTAAGCCACTGAATCCTAGAAAGGGAAGGATTCAACGTCCCTGACCTAGACTGTACCCCAGGAGAGAGAAGCCACAAGTGGATGGTTGAGCAAATGAGACAGAACTAGAACCTGAAGACCCTGACTCCGGCCTGCTTGAGCTGGACCTCGGGGTCCATTGTCCCCATCATTTTGAGCACAATGGCTGAGGAACTCGCTGAGGGGCTCCCAGGTCCCGCCCTAGACTGAGAGAAGGCTCCTTGTCTAAGGGAGGTGTCAGAACTGGCAGACACACCGAGGAAGCAGTGGGAGAACAAGGTCTCCCTGGAGAGAAGGCCCAGAGAAGTAGAAGCAGGGTAAATAAATCTCGAATCTTTACGGGAGCAGAAAACCTCATCTTCCTCCCATGGAACTAACTGCTGGTAGTTTTGAACTGCTGACCTTTCGGTTAGCAGCCCATCTCATAACCGCTCTACTACCAGAAGGGAGGCATTGGACCCAGAAGTCAGCAGAGCTGCTTCAGAGCCTGAGCTGGAGGCCCTGGGCAGGGAGTAGCCTGCAGAGTCTCCCCACAGAATGTAGTTGGGGACTGAGAAACAGGAAAGGCTAGAAAGGGGGCTGCAGGATCCCCACAGTACTTGGCCGAGGAGTCTGGTCTGTGGAAGACTCTGGAAACATCTGTGAATTAAATCCAATGTGTGCAGGGGAAATGTGGCTACGGGGTTACAGGCAAGAACAGATGACCCAGGGCAGAGTGGGACCTTCGGAGGTAGAGGAGATAGGAGTGAAATTTCAGTGGTGTTTCCCAATTTCCCACCAGCAGGCACAGGGCAGATGAGTAGAGAGGGCTGCCAGCCACAGGGAAGGGAGGGGGGCGTCTCCACCCCTCCCGACTGTCCTCTAAGCAGCCAAGACCCCCTCTAAGCCTCAGTTTCCCCTTCTGACATGGGCAGGGCAGGACCACATATCCCCTTAAGGGCCCATCTGGTATGACAGCCCAGGTAAGAGGATGTCCTGCACTTTGGAGCCAGAGCACACTGACCCAGACTGAGGGAAAGAGATTTTAATTCGGGCCCTTTAATGTCTACAACTCCAGTTCAGACAGTGGTCTCCAAAGCTGCGTTGGTTCTGGTCTTGTAAGTCCTCTGCAGGTCCCCGGCAGATTGGAAAGGAGTGTAGTAGTAATGAACACCAGACAGAAAGTCTCCAAGTGGTCCAGGGAGAACATCAGGAATTCTGGGCAGTGGGGTTACGTTGCTTTTTGAGGTTTTCCAAATATTTAACTGCCTTCTTCACCATCTTGTCCTTGGGGTTGGAACAGATGGGCTTGCCCAGGACAGTTACAAGCCTATGCAGAGAGAAAACCGTTAGGATGTGTAAGGGCCTTACAGACATGGCCCCAAGGCCAGCCTCTGCCCTACACTGACCAGGAAGCAGCCCGAAGCCCCAGGAAGGACAGCTATGTGCCCAAGGCCACACCGGGTATCAAGGCAGATCTGGGGCATTACACAGCATCCTCACTAATTGTTGCCCACCAGGGAAACCAGGGCTTCCTTGCCCACCACTTCCAATACCTCCTGCCCCTAGACCACCCAGAGTTTGAATTGGAAACACACAGGAGGGGCCAGCCTGGTGCTCTGCATCCTGTGACCGGGCCCAGGCCCCAGGGAAGTGGCACACCAGTCACCAACTGACTGTGATGGGGACTGGCCTCAGTTCCACAATAATCCATGAAGAAGTTGGGGCATGTTCGGGTCTTGTGTGTGGCACAGGAAATGCCCACAGAAGGATGAGGTGGTTCACTGGGAAGAAGGGCCCACCTCTGCTAGTCTCCCCATCCCGTCTCCAGTGACTGTTCTGGGAACATCAGAGTTGGGATCCTGGGAAATGAGCATGGGAGGACCTCGGTGGACAGACTTACACAATGGCGTCTCTGGGACACCCGGGTGAGGTTCTGTACCATGATGCCAGCCTTCTAAGAGGAATGACTCCTTGAAAGTACTCAAGGCAGCACTCCCGGAGCCCCGCATTGGTCCCTCGAGCTGGAAAAAGAAAGCAGGCATAAGCTGTGTGTGTGGGGGGGGTGGGGGTGGGGTGCCTGTGCTTGTCTGTGTGTTACTGGGAGGGGTCTGTGTGTGCATTTGTGGGATGCTTGTGTGTTTGTGTGTGTGTGTGTGTGGTTTAAGGGTCTGTGATGTGTGTGGGCTTTGTGAGTGTGTGTCTTTGTGTGAAGAGTTGAGGGGTCTGAATATGTGTCGCTGGGTCTCTGTGTCAGTGTGTGTACATGCGTGTGGGAGCTGTTTGTGTGCTATGAAGGGACCTGTGTATTTGAGTGTGTCTATGGGTGTATTTGTGTGTACACGGTGGGTTTGTGGTCTAAGTGTGTGTGTGTGTGTGTGTGTGTATGAGTGCAAGCATGCATTCCAATAACAGCCGTAGATCACCAAGTATTTGACTTGTGCCAGACTCTGGGCTGAGCCTCTACCTGCAGTAGGTCATTCAGTCCTCACAACACACCTGGGAGCAGGTACTATCACTCCCCCATTTAACAAATGATAAACTGGAGACACCCTCATCTTTGTACAAGAAAAAATCTCCAACACTCGAAAATATACACACTCATAAAGGGTGGTCTTAATACCACACTAAAGGACCTGGCGTGGTGCTGTGAGTTAATGCGCTGGGCTGCAATGTCGATTTGAACCACAAGGTCGGCGGTTCAAGCTTACCAGCTGCTCCTTGGAAAACCTATGCAGGGTTGCCTACGCATCAGAACCAACTCAACAATACTTAACAGCAACAGAGCCTTGTCTAAGAAGCCCCCATCTATCTTCTGTTCCTTCTGGAGGTGCAACTTGCTTTGACTAACTCCATGGGCTTTTGGTCACCAAGCCACCCCTGGGTGCTGGGGGCATTGCTATTATTTTTCTTAGCATTGCTTCTCTCAAAATCTGACTGCTGCTGGCCCCCCAAGTCCCTTGTGGGAAGAAGTGGACTGTAAATGACATCAGTCTGTGTGGAGTTCTCCATGCCTTGCCCTGCCCCATCCCTCTGCCCCTCACCTGCTTGGGTATGTTGCAGAGAAGCCCCCAGGATGAGGGCAGTCACGAGCAACATCTTCATGGGCGTCATGGTGGTGAAAGGCCTGAAAAATGTGTCTAGGTTGTGAGTCTTCAGCTCCAGGGACACAGGATGAGAGTGTGGAGATGGCCTATTTAACCTCTCTGAGGGGTCTTGCCCCACCTCCCTCGCCCTCCCCTATATCCTTCCCTAGACCAGTGAAATTTGAAGAATTGGAGATGATTCTGCAGAAATCCAGTCTTGGAATGTTTGTGGCTTTCCCAAGAATGGGACATCCTGGGGACAGAGGTGGGGTACATTTGTCCAGGGGCCCTAACAGTGACACACTTCTCCTTTCAGGGGAACATTTCTTTGTTCCTCTATTAGCAGAACTGAAAAATTGTCATCCTAAGCCAAGCTAATCTCTCTGAGTCTGGTGAGCTTCCTCTGTGCACGCTGCCCTGAGCTGGGACAGATGGGAGTGAACAAACCTGGCAGGAACCGTGTAGGGCTGCGCACCGTGGATCGTGGAGAAGCCGCAGGGAGCTGGGTGTCCGCAGTCGGCCATATGTGGGCTCACGGCACCTGTCTGTGGGGAGATCTACAACTTGGTCTGAGTCTGAAAAAAGGCTGGAGGCCCAGAGCAACTTTGGTTCTGTGTCTTCCTCCAAACGGGGGTCCTGTCACCTAAGGCCAGAATCCTTGGGACTTCAGGCACCATTCAGTTCAGGTTTCTGCTCCTATAGAGTCGGAGGAACCCCTGGGGGGTGCAAATGGTTTGGGCTCAGCCTCTGTTCACTCAAAGTTCAAGTCTACCCAAAGGTGCCTCGGAAGAGAGACCTGACACTCTGCTCCCCCAAACCCACCACTGAAACCTCTTTGGAGCACAGTTCTCCTCTGGCAGTCCTGAGTAGGAGGTGTAGAGCAGAATGGAAGGGTGACGAGAGGCAGATGCCTGGGTCTGCACAGTGTGCTTGCTCCGTGTTCTGTCTGAACCCAGCTGCAAGCAGAGCAGACTTTTGCTAAACACTGCCCAGTGCCAGGCCAGTCCCCTACCCACCAGAGAAAATGGCCAATCATCTGCTTAGGGTTCCTCCAGGTACAGATGCCTCTTTAGTAGGCGAGCTCTCTGCCAGCCTCAAGGGGCCCAGGATAGGTCCTAGACTCTGATTCTGACACATGGGGTGAACGAGAGAGGCAGCTCAGAGTGAGAGTCCCTCTGTCCCTCCCCTACAATGTATCAGATGCTCTCAGTCAGCTCTGCTTTAATCCAGAAACATTATTAACCCCCACTGTAACTCACAATGACCCTATAGGGTCTCCAAGGTTTTAAATCTTTACAAGTAGACTGCCACATTTTTCTCCCTGTATAGGGTTTCTGAGGAGCAGCTGGTGAGCTTGAACTGCCAACCTTGCAGTTCAAACCGACCTTGCGGTCCACACTAGGACTCCAGTGATAACAATAGTGCCTGCTAAGTCTTCAAGCCTGACTCTGCCGTTCCTGTGGGGAGCTTGTGAGAAGGGATGCTGGAATAGACCATGGAGGGAAAGGCAGTCTCCTCCTCCCCTGCAGTGTCCCTTGGGAGGAGTTTCTGTCACAGTCATGCTATGTGACCCTCTTTAGGCCTCAGTTTCATCACATGTAGAGGAAATCTTGGACTGGTCCAGAGGACCCCACTAAGATGGGAGATCTGAGAAAGATTGGTTCCTCCCTTGGTTTGGCCTCACCTGCACTTCTATGAGTCTCTTGGGGTCACATGACCTGCCCCAGACCCCCTAAGCCACAAGCCCGTCTGGCTGCACTGCCCCTTTTGACCTGGGCTGGCTGCCATTGACAAACGCAGCTGGTGGGTGGTGGCCGCCTGCCTGTGTGCATCCAGTCACCATTTTCCTGCAGAAAATGGGTGACCTGCACTCCTTGGAGGAGTGCCCCAAGGAGTCCCATTTCTGCTGAGTCAGAAGAGGCAGGGCTGAGCTGGGGGAGGGGTACAGCAGCGCCAAGGTCTGGAGAAGGAGCTGAGGGGGCCCAGAGGGCACACCCCAGAGACCCCTGTCTGAGGGCTGGGGGAAGGCCTACCACCAGAGGAGGTGTGAGGACATGCTCATTGCCCTCTGCCCACTGGCTTCTCCATCTGCCACAAAGACTAACCGGTGACCTCAGGGCTACTTTATTAAGTGGGAGGCCTCAGCCCTACTGCTGTGGGGAACTCTTGTCACTGTTCTGATTCCCTTTTTTCTGCTACAGACTCAGAATTTTCTCCAGAAGGGCCCAAATTCCCCTGTCTGTTGTGAACATGTCAGGATAGCAGGAGCGGAAGGTTCTAGACTTGCCCCTGGCTGATGTGGGCTGCCTGGCAAAGGAGGAGGAGCAGAGGAGCTAATGTGCCAGTTGAGCACCTGGATGTGCCCAGTGCTGGGCTCTGTACTGGGGGGAGTGGTTCACAGTGGGGTGAGGGTGGAGAGCAAGGCCTGACCCCACAGAGAAACATGCAGCTCAAGGACCCCAGGGTCATGTGAGATTGCTTCTGCCCAGGAGACCTGGAGCTGCTACATGGAGCTGGGCGTTGAGGTGGGCACTGCTCCAGTACTCCGAGACGCTTGCTGTGCCCACCACTGTGTTTCAGTGTCCAGCAGAGTGCCCAGCACCTAGGGAGCTGTCCTTGAGGTAGATAGAGTGAGTGCGGGCAGGGGACATGAGTGTGAAGAGCCTTCTTTGGGAGATGGTGGGGAGTGGGGACATTTTTAGGTGGTTTTCTCACCAGGGATTGCCCAGACTTATTCCCCATTGGCTCTCCCAACTATGAAACCTGCTCCAACGGTCCTGTTAATCTAATGACCTGAGGCCTGGGCCTGGGCTGGTATGAGGCTTGAGAATGCTGGGACCAAGAGGCTCATTAGGGGATGCAGATGGCTTCCTGGAGGAGGTGGCAAGAGGCAGGGCCTTGTCAGGGGGCAGGTGAAGGTGCTGCTGTTGAAGGGAGGGCAAGGGAAACAGGCCAGAGTCCATCTGTCCAGAGAACAGGATAAGGGGGCAGGGAGTGGGCAATGGTGACTCCCCGTCTCAACTGTCTGACTTGTTGCCACCCTGCACCTGCCCCAGCTTCGGTGATGACTTCCATTCTGTGTCCCTGGAGGAGATTAAGCTTTCACCTGATGGCACTGGACCAGCCAGACTTTGGGGAGAGAGGAGGGGTGACTGCCCTTACCCTAGGCTCTGCCATCTCTATTCTGTCCAGGGATGCTGTCCAATCACAGCCTGGAGCTGCTGAGCAGAGGTTGGGATTCAGGGATGGAAGTTTCCATCATCCTCAAATAACACTCAAAGCTGCCACCCCAGTTCCCACCCTCGTCGATCGTGGTTCAGGAAGTACTATGACTTGCCCAGGGTCTCCCAGAACATCTCAGTTCGATCATCCTCAACAGCTGAAGCTGGATCTTCCTTGCCTTGCCAAAGGGAGGAAAACCAGGAACCAAGGCCAACCTGACAGGCATGAGGGCCCCAGATGTTGTCTCCACTCCCAATCCATCCCCAAATCTATCCTCCTGTCCTTGCCCCAGTGACCGGATGTGCGCCTCGATAAGTCTGTCACTCATCACTGGGTGTCTGTCCCCATTCTGCAGGTCAGAAACCCAAGGATCATCCCTGTCCTCAGGCTCTCCTTCAATGCCTTCATTCTGTCAATCACCAAGACCCTTTGTGGAATCTATCCACATGGCTACTCCCAACTCTGCTGGGCCTCTGCCTCAATTCTAGACTTTCCCCCTCCAGTCCATCTTTCTCATTTCACCTAGCGATCTGCCCCAAACACCAATCTGAGCAAGTCTCTCCCCTCTCAAAATCCTTCTCTGCCACTTCCATGTCCTCAGGACGAAGCCCAAATACCATGTATTTCTCCAGCTTCAACTTTTGCCCCCTGCCCACCACATACCACATCACTATGTTTTAGCCATATGGACCTTCTTTCGGTTCCTTGAAATGCTGGGCTCTCACCGATGTCCAAGTCTTTGAACAGGCCCTACCCCATGCCTACAACATCCTCTCCTACTTCCCCACACTCCACTTCCCCAAACTCCTTCAAATTGCAATTTAAACGTTTACTTCTTCCTAACAGCCCTCGGCCTTCTCTGCATCCCTTGGGTCCACTGGCTGCCCTCTCATGGCAGTCTTCACAATCTCCACTGTGATGATTTATCTGTTGGATCTCACACAAAAGACCATGAACTTCTTGAAAACAAGGCTCTGTTCTAACTTGTCCCTCCAAGACTTAGCATCCAATAGATGCTCAATAAAATATGTTTATTAAATGGATGGAGGAGTGAAAGAGTGGATGGGTAGATGGATGAAAGCATGGTTGATTGGCAGATGAATGTATGGAAGACAGGCAATTGGATGGATGGATGGATGGATGGATAGATAAATGGGTGTGGATGAACACTTGAAAGTTTTTAAACTAAAGCATGGACCCAGTTTACATTCTATCCTAGAGTTTCCTCCATCCAGTACAAGTTATTTTTGATCCAGTGTGTCCCATCAGTTCATCAGATACACCTGAACCCTCGGTGGTGTTGTTGTGACTCTCTCTTTCCATCTGGTTTATAACTCCATTGTGAGTTGTGACCATATTCTGCCTTCTGCTAAATGTAAACTGCTTCAACTGTGGCTTTGATCTCAATCCTTCCTAGTCCCAGAGGAACTTCCTTCCCTCTGTCACCGTTCATCCCTTCACATTCTCCCACATCATGGTCCTCTTCCCTTCTGCTGATGTTGGGATTCTGTGTCTCTGCTTCCATAAAAAACCTCTCCTTGACTCCAACACACCCCATGTTGTCCTCTCATTTCTCCTTTCATTCATGACCAAACATCTCTAATGTGAGGTCCACCCCTCCCATTACCTCCCATATTCTCTACCCACTGGAGATTCAATTCTTAAAAACACATTTTCTGGAATTGACATTCAAGGAAAACCACTGTCTCTGGACCTCTCAACTCCACATAGCCATTTGGAACTTCCCATTGCCTCAAAGGGCATTGAGGGGTCAAGGTTAAGAGCAGATGCTCTGAAAACCTTACC